ACACAAATTTTAGTGGTATCACATTTGGTGACAGGGGGAGACTTTAGGCAAACCTTACCTGTTCTTAAAAGAGCTTGCCACACACAAATTATTCAAAATAGTGTTAAATCCTCACCAATATGGTCTAAACTCCTAAAGTTCTCATTTTATATAACCTCCCAAGACATTCAGAGTACCACTAACATCCACTACTAGAGAACAATTGATAGATAATGTGTTGGAAAAACACATAGAGACAAGCAAAAAAAGCCTATTTTGAAAGGCTATTCTCACAATTTTAAATGACCTCTCTCTACAAGTAAATGACTAAGTCCTTTCAAGAATGAGCAAAAATAACATACAAGAGAATTGATGTTGTAGAAATAGAATCAAATGAGAAGATCATTGACTATCCTATGGAGTTCTTAAACTTGGTGACACTGTTGGAATGCCTCCACATAAGCTAAACATAAAAATCAGCTGTATCATAATGCTCTTACATAATATTAACACAAATAAACTACCATAACGAAGGCTTTACCAAACGTCATTGAAGTTAAAATTTTACACAATGATATGCAGGTAAAAAAAAAAAGGAATCTCTTTGAAACCAAAAAAAATGGAGATATGCCATTCATTGTAAAATGGTAGTAGTTCTCTGTAAGGCTTGCATTCTCTGTTACAATTTGCAAATCATAAAGACAAACACTGTAAAATATAAAGATATTCTTGCCAAGACAAGATTTTTTACCATGGTCAACTTTATGTTGCACTCTCAAGGGGAACATCAAAGACACAAATGTCTGTAGAACAATGTGAGAGATAAGGTTTTCTACAAAATAAAATTGTGTACACAATAAAACATAGTCTATAAAGAAATTCTTTAAAATGATAATATTAAATAAAACATAACTACTATCTCTGCCAGCAGAGCTGGATTCCTTGCTAGTATATATATCAAGATCACCTCCATGAACAATAGCAATAAGCACTTTTACTTGGTTTGCAATGCCAATGGTGGTGGTTTTTTTTATTTTTTTTATCAATGTTTACTAAAGTCTTGCGTATTGGATAAAATAAGTGGCTGGTCTTTAGGCTAGCCAGAACGTGAAAAACACAAATTTGCCCTCCCATTGGTCCATGTGTTTCCGACGTCACCATCTTCCTCGTGATGAATTACAAAGTGTTAAAATTCCAGCTGCAACTGATTCCCAGCTCGAAATCAGTGACACTGATTTTAAGGAAGGACGTTAGGTCTCATTTAAAAGACCACCTAAAACATTCTAACACAACCTCTGGCAAGATTAACACCAAGGAAGGGCACTATCCCTTGAATACTCTCCCATGAAGAGGTCCTCCCCAAACTCATTAAGTTGGAATGAACCAGAAAAAGCATGGAGAAACAAATTTTCTAAGATGAGTCATTTAGAATGAAAACCCTTAGAACTTTAAACATCTTATACACAGGTATTCAATGACGTTAGTTCCAGTGCCTGGGTAACACAAAAGAGAACTGTAAGTAAATGAAATTTTCTATACTTACATTACATGTAAACTAAAAAAGAACTTCTGAAAATCATGCCTCACAGATCAGTGGTGTCCGGTAAGACTTTCATTGGCTACAGCCATAGAGCTCAAGAGCACTAGAGCTTTCCTGCTAGTGCTCAAAGACCAACAAGGTCTCTCTGACTTTTCTTGCCGCTCTAAATGCCATGTGCTTGCTGCTGTGAAGGAAGGCATGCAAGCTCAATAAGAAACAATGTAGAGTTTGTGGATGGACTTGATTGATATGTACAAGTGTGGGAGTTTGCTTTTCAGGTTTTAGATTCCAAACAATCAGTAAAGATCTTCAACAATGATAGAAAACCTCTGTGCTTCTTTTGCTTACCAGAAATTTGCCAAAGTATCCCCTGCCAGCCATGGCCTTTCCAACAATTTGCGACAATCCAAGAAACATTCGACCCAAGAAAGCAAAGAACTCTGGCACTGCTACGCTTATAGCTTGATTCAAAGCTCTGTCGAAAGTGTTTTGCATCTCGTTATTTCCAGAAGTTCCTAACCATGAGCCTCATAGAGAGCTCGCATTTGAGGCCCAAATAAAATGCACTACCAATTCGTTTTTCTTTCACTTCGAGACAATACACTTTGCTGTAATTGGAGGGATTTCTTTCGCCAGCCATCCGTTAAGGCAGACAAGTTTACTAAACCTTGTCACTGCTAGACGTAATCAACAAAGGAGCCAGAGCCACCTCTACTACTCAACCTTTAGACTTTCTTTAAAACTAATCCTACACAGCCATTCAGATGGATCTTCTAGCAGATCATCAAAGTCTAGAAGCACTGAAAGTATACACAAAGAGAAAACATACAGCTAGCCTCTTCCCACACTATTTGCTTCGATGGAATTAATAATCTTATTTCCATAAATTTATAAAGATCTTTAGGTAAATTCTACTTTGGTAGTTCGCTGTTTCATTCTGGCCGTTTCCCCTCCAACAGCAAGCTTTGAAGTCCATTAGGGGCCTGGTTACAAGAGTAACATAAAATACTCCATTCGAGATATGATTGGGCACTCTTTATATTATGGATTATCTCATGCTACTCCGTTGCTCATGAAAAGACTCTTGAGGAAGGGTGGTATTTAGAGAAATTGTTTCGTCACTTGTCTTTAAATCAGCAGAGTAACTAAATATCTATTCTAGGAATCAAAGAATACAACAATTCAACGCTTGAATGCAGAGAATAGCGGCTATGCTTCAAGCGTGGCACAACAATAGTCTCTTTGGATGAAAGTTTTCTTAAGTGACAATGGCGTTGATCTTAATTTGTTTATGATCAGAAATGGACTTGCTAGGAATCCGCCCGGCAGCACTTCCCACCATCTAGGCCAATCCAGTCTGGCACACAAGTGGCTTTAGAAATTCACATGTTTTGTGAGGCATGTCCTCAACAAAATATTCTCTGCAAGGGAGAACTTGCTCTCATTTCCTCTGGCACACCAATAATCATAAGCAAAGGACACTATATTTCCATTGCAACCTTTAGTCCTACTACGAGGAATCCGTGTGGGGTGATATATGATCTATCTCTTGACAATCTAGCTCACAACCAGCTCTTATTCAGCTCTATTGACTGCATGGGACAATGCTTTCAGTGTGCCTACATCTTTCCCTCGCATATATTAATATCAGAATGACTGTGGAACATGAATGAATAGCTGGGAGAAGCTTTTTAGTTTAGTAAGCTCCTCAATAGAATATGAGAGGGCAAGTGAACTTTCTTGCTTTTTCTACTAGATTAAGGTGGAAGGAGAATTTGGCAAGCCCGATTCTTGGCTAGCCTCTTGACGAGAGGGGCTTTGATGATCTCCTCTTTTTATAACACTAGTTTAGATTATGTGGACAAGGAAGCTGGGATGGTTCTCAAGTGGCACATGGCAGAGTGGGGCAGTGAACCTTGTATTCAGCTTGGAAGAGAGCATGAGAGATTTGCAGTAGCCGCACTTGACAAACTCTCTTGTAGAAATCCAAGTTTTATTGCCATGCATATGACATTCAATTCATCTCTACGTGACTAAATCTTACTCCATAGTTTTACATCTAAATAGACTCTATTTCGTTTCTATATTACTGTAAGTGGTTAACGTAACGGTGGCTGTTGAAGATGGCTACGTGGCAAACTGGGAAGCAAAGAATTGCGTCGCTTGAGCTATGTAGTGACTGAGCTTCAATTCGAGGGTTGCTCGATGGGTTGGGCTAGTTCGGTGGATTCTGATGCTTCAGGTCCATGGCCTCCTTCAGCTGCTTCAGGTTTGTACTTGAAGGAAGTTGCACCTTCACCCTCGTACGGGTAAATTTTGTATTCAAGTCCTTTTGTGAATATCGCAGAGCTTTGGCTCCTCTTGCAGGATAAAAAACGGAAGCTATAAAACTTCAAACAATGAGTATGGAAGATTCTACGATCGTCATGAAACCCCGCCTGTAAGTTTTGGTCTGTTTTCTTCTTTCGCTAATCTCGCATTTCAGACAAAGAAGGGGTCAGATAATTATTGGTCCAGAAACTGTGATCTTCTGCACAAGTGCAATATGAACTGCTTTCAACAGTTGAGAAAGTTTCATCTTGGCCATTGGCCTGGTTTTACAGATGGTAAGCATCTTAAAAGAAAATAGCGAGATGACATGCAACTAATTTTGCAGATTTTCCCATAACATCAAACCGCTTAAGTGCAAAGAACAGAGGGTGGCTAGAACATAAGATTCCATGGCGGACAAACACGGAGAGTGGGCAAAAGTCTTCGTCAAAACGTTCCAGGAACAGATCCCCACAGGACAGGTTGTCATCCAGAAAGTACTCTTTCTTTTAAACTTAAAGGGACAGCTCGGAAGAACCCAAGGGGGGGAGGGGACGGCTTAGAAAAGCAAGAAAAGCTTACAAAAATTACTTCATAATAACGTCAACTGGAAAATCATCGCTCGAGACCTTCTGGAGAATTTTTGCAGGAAAGAAACAGGATTCCAAATCTAGAATTTTGAGGGACACGACAGAAAAACAACAGAGGGAGCTTTTATTTCCATTTTTCTGCTTTAAAAATTTCTTATGACTTTTTTCTTCTGTTTCTATTTCAGCTGGAAGCCTCCTGAAATCCAGGTATGTAAATAATTGCAGAAAGCAGCTCGAGTGCTTCCTTTGTAACACAACTACTTCATAGGGTCATATATATAAATATATATACTAGCAAGGAATCCAGCTACGCTGGCTCAGATAGAAAATAGTTTTCAAAATGTTTTAGTGTGATACAAAAATCTTACTCCCTTTACTAAATCTGCTATTTGCATCTAGCATTAGGCATCACATATTCCCTTTTTAGAATATTTATGAATATGCTTTTAATTGGACGGTTACTACTTGACTAGCAGGGTCCCAGCTCCGCTAGGAGAAGTAGAGAATATGTATTTTTAGCGGCCTTTTTGGCTGTGCTTTCTCCTTCCTCCCTGCTTATGTTGAAGATCTTAAAATGATCATCATCCGCCTTCTTTCATCCTGCACTGGCACAATACAGACCATGACAGAGTATGAGACACACTTGTTCTTAGCCATGCTATGAGTTTAAAACATTCTCTACTTCTCTCAGCAGACTGGATATTTGATTGATATAGTTGTTAGATAGGTTGGGACTCAGATGTCCTTTGCTATTAAAGGGTGAAAAACTCTGTGTTTACAGAACTCGAGCTTTGAGAAATGAAAAAAAATAAAAAATTCCTAGCATAACAAAAACCCAACGATGAGGCATAAGTCCTTCTCAGCTTCACATTGAATCTCGTCTAGGAGGTTTTTCTTGTCTTCTGGGTCTAATCATCCTTCTATATCTAAAAGAGCAAGGGTGACATATTCAATCGAGATTCTTTTCAAGCTTACTGGTGGAGATGAAAACACATGGCAAAAAAACAGTTGAGGGTGAAACGTTTTTTTTTTAAGGGTAAACCAGTTTTTTTCAATGCATTTTTCCAGGAGAGCTTATCACCGCGGTACACACCATGAGGTTTGCTGCATGATTGCATTGGTCCTTACGTTATATACCTTGTGCTCATGAATCTTTCCTTTACTGTCCAGTTTGTACTCAAAGATGCCGTCAAAGAGACTTCCCACAGCACTTGTGGAATCGTGAACAGACCATCTGATCACAATAGTGTGCTGTCCAAAGGCTGCCAGGCGCTCAAGGTTTCCATCCAGATCGACTTGAAAAGCATTCTACCATTCAGCCGGAGCACCTGTATAATACACTTGTAAGTCTGTGAAAGCAGTTTATTTTCCAGGAGAGCTTATCACTGCGGTGCACACCATGAGGTTCGCTGCATGATTGCATTGGTCCTTACGTTATATACCTTGTGCTCATGAATCTTTCCTTTACTGTCCAGTTTGTACTCAAAGATGCTGTCAAAGAGACCTCTGACTTCCCACGGCACTTGTGGAATCGTGAACAGACCATCTGATCACAATAGTGTGCTGTCCAAAGGCTGCCAGGCGCTCAAGATTTCCATCCAGATCGACTTGAAAAGCATTCAACCATTCAGCCGGAGCACCTGTATAATACACTTGTAAGTCTGTGAAAGCAGTTTACTGGATCTCTGAAAGAGATGTCCTCTCTGCACCAAACAAGATAAGCCACTCTATGTTTACTTCATTCTCCTGTATATCTGATAGCTCAGATCTCCATGGAACAGAACAGGCAGCTCCTCCCTGAAAGTCTTGATGGCATAGCCTACATTGACATAGTAATCCAGAGTTCCTTCCTTGCTCTTTGCTACTAATGGATCCTCTACTTTGCTATTCAGCTTGGTCGAGAGATTGCAATAATGCACTTGAAGAGGTTGCTTGAATCTATCTCTGCTGCTATATGCCAAGCTCAGCACTACCTCTAATGGAAGCAGCTCACTACACACCATCTTGTCAAGTTCGCTACAAACTGAATATTGTCTTCCTCAGTCAAGCTGATTTCTTCCAGTTCTTCATGCCAACAATGGTATGGCACTCTTAAGTTTGAGGTAAAAAGCTTTCACATATTGTTTGTAGCCAAACTGAATGCATTTTCATGTGCAATGGCTCAGTGACAACAAGCTGGATCCCATTCTAGAGTCACTGGCCAAGCTACCTTGGTTGACTTGCACAGGCTTAACCTCAGCGAGTCCATCTATCCACTGGCAAGTTCTCAGTGTTGAGAATAGTGAGCCAAGTGGCAGTGACTGAAGAGGTGAGTTTTCTATTTTTGATGCTTTTAGCTCCCTGGCAAACATCTGTATTCTCTTTTCTTCTTCTCTAGATTACTGACAACCTTGCTTGGAATGTATTACAGTCATACACATTGGAGATTAAGTTTCTTGAAGCTCTCTGATGCTTCAAACAAAAGGCAAGCACTGCCACCGTCAAGAATACATGACAATTGGCTTCAAGAAGATGATGGCTAGGTTTATGAGTTTTGCAGTTGTCAATTTTGCAACTGTTCTTGGCTCTTCTGTATCTGCCAAGTGAGTATTTCCGAGCTATGACTCAATTTCTGATGTTGAAGCATGTGAAGCTTTTATGAAGTTTTGGCCAGAGTCTAGAACAATGCACGGGATCTTTGCACGGAAACATGGGGAACATTCGAAATAACCCAGCACTTGAGATGATATGCTCATTAATGCTTTTGATTTGTTAATCTCGAGGCATCTTTTTTTAGGCACTTCGAGCATTGACTTACACGGGAACTTTCATTGGTGGGGCAACGATTCTAGCAAAGAAGGCTCTGGAAGAAGCTTATATTACGAAGCAGATGATCTGTTTTCAGACCTCTTGAAAGATGAAAATGAAGGCTCAGCATTAACAAGAAGTGACTATATCACTTTTAAGGTTACAAAGGTCCATCTTGCAGGAACATCATTGGTTGTATCCTGGAATGAAGGCTACGTTGGAAGCAGCAATGGGGTACATGCTCTAAAATTTATCCCGCAGCTTTTGCAAGTCTATTTTGACATTGTATTGCAAGATATGAGTGATTGTAAGTTCCAAACCTTTGCATTTAATCCGCTGCTCTTTGTATGTTTAGCACTACTCTGCAATCTTTTACCTATGGTCTTCTTCAGAATCAATGCCATGCTTCCGGATGAGGCATTTTCAATCGAGGTAAGCAAGATTAATTTACTCATAAGCTGACTCATGTCTTAAATCATGTCCAACAAACGTGTTGTCAGTTTGTGCACACTTTCTTCAAGAAATCTCCTCAATTCATTGCTCTTTTGAAGGTAAGCCTTTCTTATCTATTTGAAGTTGTTATCCCAAAAGAAGTAAAAACATTGCAGAAGGTCATCACCAGTCAACCTCAAACAAGTGACAGTAAAGTAAGATGGATTTCACAATGTTTGAGTGTTAAACTTCTATTACATTTACTAGACTGAGCTTCCTTTGCAACTATGCTGAGTGGTTGGAGACCATGGTACTTGTTTCAAGGATGGTGTAAGAGAGCTCTTTGAAACTCTGGAGTTGGTTCTCTACAAAAACCTCTTCTTATGGTAATTGAAGTTTCTCACTGTTTATGTTGTGTCTAATCTTCACAAACATCCAGGCATAAAACTTCTGCCATCCCAGCCCAGTCCCAGCTGCTATTTTTTGTCATAACCATAGCAAAGCTTGCAACGTGTCATCAAGAGCTCTTGCCTAGAGCTCGAGTGCTAAGGTTTGTTTTTTTTTTTTTGTCTTCTCTAAGGAACTTTCTTGAGTTTAAGTTGCTGTTCTTGATGAAGGTGGCACAATCACATCAACCACTCAAAAAGACTGTCTGGAGAAGAATTGAAGATCACCATTGCTGCCTACGACTGAGTCCCTGGAGTGGAGAAGCTGGTGATGAATGCAAAGATGGACCTTGCCTTGCAGCTTATACAGCATGAGAAGCCCGAGAGCTTGCTACATTACTACAAGGCCATGGAGCTGTAGCATGAAACAAAGTTCAATTTGTTTCTCACATGTCCAAGAAGATTTGGCCCCCCGTCGATCACAACATGGTCAGATGCTACCAGCATTTTGGACAAATATTCACAGGTTATACTTCCCACCAAAGGATCAACTACAAGGACATAAGTTCAAGAAAAACAAAGAGAAAACTCACAAGGATCTGGCTCACCCAGTAATGCACAAATTGAAACAAAACTATGGAAATTGTAAGAGCTGGACTTTAATTCTCCTTGAGAGTTTTCAAGAAGATCTGTCCACTAGGATGAATGTTGCAGTGATAGATTCACATTTTAAACACCACCTACATTTTCCAACGAGAGATAAGATCTTTGAATTCTTCCTCCTTTCCACATTATCTTGAGAGGCTTTAACGGATAAGCACTGGGGAGGCTAATGTTGACCTTATAAAGGGATCCTATGAGATCAAGAAGAATTTCTTCAAAAGTTGAGAATTGAGCTAGGAAGTCTAGCCGATGGACTGAATTGTGGAGACCCACTCATAGAAATTATTGGCCTTTGGACTGGCAAAGCAAATCTCTAGTGGATCTCTGTGGGCTTCTTCTGGATCTGCTTCGCCCCACTGTGCCAAACCACTTATAACCTTTTGGAGTAGATTGTAAATCAGCTGTTTACAAACATTTTTAATTCATTAATTATTTTATTAATATTATTATTGAATTAAAAATGAATGAATTAAATAATTATAATTAAATATTAAATTAGCTGATTCTGCTAATTTACAATATTTTATTTCTATCCACTCAAAACCTTCATGATACACATGCTGCAATGTGAACAATACTCAGCCAAGGACATTCAACCATTCCCCACTTGGAGCATGTCGGGATCTGAAAGAAAGAAGCTTGAGAAATTTATGCAAAGCCAACCATTGATCTCACTGTTCCAGCCTCCAGGATGCCCACAAATTGTTGGCATCCGCCACTCTATATTGCAAGCAAAATTGGTCATAGAAGAGAAAAAGAAGAAGAGCTAGGAGAACTTTACCATGGCTATCTGTCTTTAGTAATGTCTGTCAGCTATTCACATACTTCCCAGCCCACATGGTTGGATGATCTGCTCCCCTATGCACAGAAAAATGAGCTCTTATATCGCAAGAGATAGCAAGAAAAAAAATTTTAATTATCTTTCACACATTGCATAGAAGATAGGATGTTTGCTTTTGTTGAGAGCCTCACTCACTGGGTTTTGTGGTGGTGTTGCTCCATTTCTGAGATGCAAACATTGTTTGCATACTGAGCATAAGAAGGCTGATTTTAATTGTGAAAGCAATTGTCATACTTGAGATAGTCAATTCCCTATACGAGAAGAAATAACTCAATTGACATGTTGAAATGGAACAAAAACAGCATGTTTACTGTGCCCTTTGAAGCCACTCAATGGCATTTACAAGTCATTCTCCTAGAAAACGTCTACAGATATTGGAAAAAAGAACTCTCTACCTTCCAGTAAATTTGACCACATCATTGCCTGTACTTTTGAGATGCACATTGAGACCTTTTGACTTTCCTATCACTACCACATGATCTCTGTATGGACAAAAAAATGTTTTCTATTCTACATCTTCTTCCACAATTGTACAACTAACCCCTTCCAGAATAAGATGTGAAGCTGGCTATATATATATAGATTTAATATTATAATTTGGCCCCCTGGGAGATTTGGCCCCCCGTCGATCACAACATGGTCAGATGCTACCAGCATTTTGGACAAATATTCACAGGTTATACTTCCCACTAAAGGATCAACTACAAGGAAATAAGTTCAAGAAAAACAAAGAGAAAACTCACAAGGATCTGGCTCACCCAAGAATGCACAAATTGAAACAAAACTTTGGAAATTGTAAGAGCTGGACTTTAATTCTCCTTGAGAGTTTTCAAGAAGATCTGTCCACTAGGATGAATGTTGCAATGATAGATTCACGTTTTAAACACCACCTACATTTTCCAACAAGAGATAAGATCTTTGAATTCTTCCTCCTTTCCACATTATCTTGAGAGGCTTTAACGGATAATCACTGGGGAGGCTAATGTTGACCTTATAAAGGGATCCTATGAGATCAACAAGAATTTTTTCAAAAGTTGAGAATTAAGCTAAGAAATTCCATACATGCAAGTAAACCCAGAAGAAAAAGAATGGTGAAGATGGCTTGTGAGCCAAGGAAATGGCAATCTCCCTAACCAGGGTTTAACCAAGTTTACATTGCCGAGTTCACACCCCATTGATCAAAGAAGTATATGTATGAATTTATATATGATAAATGTATCTGTAGTTGATTCCCCAGATAAATCCCTGCACCACGACCCAGTGATCATACAAAGATAGAAGCTGGCCAACTGTATATGGCTTTAGAGTTGGTAGCAGCATGCTCAAGGCTGGATGGTTCCTGGTGAATTCTTGCAGACTTTCACCTAGCATGCAGCAAGGAAAGAACATTCAGGAACTTACTTTGTGAGGAGTCAAATAATCCGGAACACCTTCCACTCGAAGTTCCTCGAGGATCTGAAGAAAGAAACATTTAGACCATGAAAGAATACAAGAGATTCCTTACTGACCCTGCCATTTTGCAAGTTATACATAAAAGATTTTGATTAGAATCCTTTCTATAATTTTAAATTTCTGTAATAACTTCCTATACAGTGATAATAATTGCAACAATATGGGATATGAGAGACCATATGCTTAAATTACTTTTGTTACCAATAAAAGAAAGGGTATATACAAAGACAATGTTCCATTGTCATAAAAAGTATTTGTGGATATTGATGATCTCCAAGGTATAACTATCAATCTCTACACTAAAATGACATTATGAATTTCAGACAAATAATTTAAAAAATATACATCATCGCTACTGATTGATGAAAACAAACAACTAATTCTTTAGGATTCATGTCACCTATATGACAGATGTCCTATCTATTCCAGCGGAGCTGGATTC